TAGGGAAATAACTAATTACTTTGTTTTTCACATGGTGGGAAAGTACCTAATTTTTATTCCTATTTAATTTTTATCATTCTTTTATATCTTTTAATTTCAAAACCTGGAAATGTCAAAATTTATAATTCTTATAACAGTACTTCTTTTTTCTCTTTTCAGATGTGAATCTGGTTATACTGGACAGCACTGTGACAAGACAGACTTTAGTATTCTCTATGTAGTGCCAAGTAGGCAAAAGCTCACTCATGTTCTTATCGCAGCAATTATTGGAGCTGTACAGATCGCCATTATAGTAGCAATTGTCATGTGCATAACAAGGTAGGTAATGACTTCAGAAATGCCTGACTTTAACTTGAAGGTGGGTGAAGTCCACTGATCTCTTAGGAAACAACCTAGGATCAGTTTCCTGAAGTTTCCTTGTGGGCTGACTTCTCTCTATTTTGGGCAGGAACTCATTGCCAGGGTTACTGGTGTATCTGGATTGCAGGCAGAGGGAGAATGAGAATAGTCACTGGCATAAAAGAATTTATGGATCTTAGAACTGTGTGCTATCTTTGAGCATTGCATTCATAGACAGTAATGGCAGCAGATTCTATAATGGTCTGCAGAAAGAGTCATGCAGAAGTTTTCAATCCCTACAGAACTATAAGACATTTTATGCTCTAAGAATATAGTTCAGGTAAAATAAATATAATAAAGGAAAAAAATCAGAGGATGAAGATAATATAATTCTTGTATCGTTCTATTAACATTACTTCATTTTCTGGATTACACTAATAAGTAATAAGCTTTAAAATTATGTATCATAAGCAAAACCACTCATCATAAATTAAAGGACTTACTAGGCATTCAATTGCCATAAAATAGGTTTTTTTCAAAACTGAATGGAAACGTGTCAGACTGAACCAAACTTCTGAAAAGTCAGAGCAAATAAGTTCATTTTGGTCTTTGTGCTGCTTTGTCTTATATCTTTTCTTCTTAATAACCTCCTCCCACCTCCTTGAGGGTTTGATTCACAAGACCCATAAACCTCATCTCTGCATTATTCTGGGCAAAGGGTTGGAGCACATCAGATATGGATATTGGCGGGCCACAATGGATTTATGGCCCTTCTCTCCAAGGTCTGCATAGATGCCAGACCTTCAGTAGTCTCAGCCATCTGGAGCTGAAATGATAAATCTAGAAATGTTGAAAAATGTCCTCTGAGCAACATATTTTTCATAAAATTCAGGCACTAAAGTCAGTGTGCTTTATTCCATAGAACAGATGATCTGCCTTTAGGCAAGACTACTGAGTACTGGGCAGTAGATCAAAGTAGGGGCAAAATGATATAATGAATAATGTGAACAGAAAGAGAAGATAGGGAAAAAAAGCATTTAATAGCAGAGCTAGCTGTGACCAATAAATACAGGCCCAGAATTTAAGTAATTTGCCTGTGGTCCTCCAACTAGTAAGTGAGATGCCTGATTGGGATTCAGTGTTTTCTAATTCTTAATTCTTTAGACTGAATCATTAAGAGGAGAGCCCATGTTGAATCTTCTAGCCAGATATGGCCATTGGGAGCAGGGTTCAAAGTTGATATTGTAGCAGCTTAGAGTTTGAAGCAAGGGAAGATTTTGTTATCAGCCAGTTTTTTACAGCATTATTCTGAGGGACTTCTGCAAAATTCACTGAAGTAGGGAAAAAGTGCAGTAGCATAGAATAGCGACCATGTAGCAGTCCATTGTTGGAATAAAGCAGAAGTAGAGTGATAAATTGTTTAGAAGATGAAAGAAAAAAATAAGGGAAAGCCGTTGAGGCATTGTTGTTGTGTGATTTAAGAGAATCAAAGGGTGTTAGAGTTAGTAGGAAGCAACTTTAAGTTCAACCCCTTTTTGTACAGAAGTAAGGAAACAATGCCCCAAGATGAGAAGTGTGGGGAGCAACTGAGACTAGACTAAGTTACTGGAATTAAGACTTATTCTATGCATCTGCTCTCCCACAATATGGCGCTAGGGAGGAGTAAACTTCTACACAGCTGCCTCTCGCCAATTTGACTGATAAGCTGCAGAAGCTGATCCTGCTTCTGATTGGAGGAGAGCAGCGTGCTCAGCATGTGGGTAGCAGAGTTGGGATTGGTGGAGAGGACTATAAAGGAGGAGAAAGACAACATGCACCGGGAACAACTGAAGGAACACCTGAGCAGCCCCCGAGAGAGCCGGCCAGTGGTGTGCCACTCCTCCGCGGAAGCGGGGAAAGTGGCAGGGGGAGCCGCCCCTCCACGGAGGTGGAGGGGTCGGCAGCCAACCCGGGAAGGACCAGCAGCTAGCCCAGGAAGGGCCAAGCAGACAAAAGAACAGCGCAGGGTCTAGTGTCGTTCCTCTGTGAAGAGGGGGAGCGACAGAGAAGTACCTTGCCCAGGGTCACAGAGCTTAAAGGGGCTTTAAGCCCCTTTACAATCCTAATTGAGCTTGTTGCCCAACTCTGTGCTTCTGTTCTCAGTATGCTGTGATTCTTAACCCCTAAATTAAAATTACTTGGCAGGTATCTCTAGTTTGTACCCCAAACCCATTTGTATACTTCACAGTCACCTAGACATTATAGTACATTTTGTTTATGTCATTTGAAAGGGAAAGAGACAAAGGCAAAGAGAGATCTATCTGCTAGTTCAGCATGCCCACAATAACTGGGACTAGACCAGGCCAAAGCTAGGAGCTGGGAACTCAGTCCAGGTCTCCCACATGGGTAGCATGGAGCCACTCACTTGAGCCATCACCACCTGCTGTGCAGTAGCAGAAACCTTAATGGGGAGCAAAACTGGGACTTGAACCCAAGCACTGCAGTATATAATGCAGGCATCCCAAGTAGCATCTTTTTTTTTTTTTTTTTTTTTTTAAGATTTAATTTATTTGTTTGAAAGGCAGAGTTACAGAGAGAGAGAGAGAGACAGAGAGAGATCTTCCATATGCTGGTTCATTCCCCACATTGCTTCAACAGCTGGGGCTGGGCCAAGCCAAAGCCAGGAGCTGGGAGCTTCTTCTGGGACTCCCATGAGAGTACAGGACCCCAAGCACTTGGGCCATCTTCTGACGCTTTCCCAGGCATATTAACAGGGAGCTGGATCAGAAAGTGGAGCAATCGAGACTTGAACTGGTACCAATATGGGATGGTGGTGTCTCAGGTGGAGGCTATGCCATGATGCTGGACCCACCCCAAGCAGCATCTTAACTGATGCCCATCCCCACAAGATATTTTAAATTGAGAAGTGTCTTCACTACTTACTGCCTGCATGACTTAGGGTTATCTCTTCAAGTTTATTCCAAGATTTCTCCCGAGACCCTCTTTTTGTTGTGCTATGTCCTCCCCTAGAATGTCTTGCTGTTGTGGATTCAGAACATTATAATTACGTACTTGGACTTTTCTCCTTTGCAGTTTAAGGAGTGCCACTCCCACACAGTCCATTATGGGGTAGCTGTCCACTGATCCCATGGTGGCTGTTGCATGTGGGAAAATTTCCTTAAAGCGATGTTTCCACTGACCCATGTATCAAAACTGCATGAGTCACATTTTCTCTTCGTATGCTTGAAGGTGATCCTTCCTTCAGGCTTTTAGACTCAGAAAGTGACAGATAGGTGTGGACCTTGAACATCACCCTAGCCAAGGACCACTATTTTATAGATGAAAAAACTAAGACCTAAGGGGTTGGATCTTCTTCAAGGTCATAGTGAAATTAGTAATGGTTCATGAGGGTTGCTTGACCTCTCAGCTGGTTTCCTTAGCTGTGAAATGGTGATGGTTTTTGCTCTGTCTACTCAGATCCTTAATATGAGGATTAGTGAGATAAGATTTGTGAAAACCATACTGAAAATAGAAGTATCATCAAGGCTTTAAATCAAGGCAAAACAGTATTCTGAAATGGAATGAAAATAAAGAGTGTTACAGCAAGGAGCTTTCGTTATTACGAGACTTTCTTTCCATTAGATTATAAATTCCTTGCTGGCAGAGATTTTAGAGGTCACTTGAACTCCCAACTTAGTATTTTACCTATGGGAGCATGGAGGGTTGAACAGTTATTAGCAGAGCACAAACTCAACAGCCGCTTGCCTCTACATTGTGTAGCACAGCACCACGTGCATCGTAAGAGCTCAGGTGTTTGCAGCCGAAGGCACAAGGGCAGTCATGGTACAGATCATCCCACCATGGAAAACAATGGAGAAATGAGAGCAGGGTCAAGGAAAACCCCTTATCCTCAGCATGGTAGTTCCTTTTGGGGTTCTGTGGTTTGCCCCAGCAGGTTGTGGAAGGACTTCTTATGAATCGTTGTCTAAAATCAGTAAGCATAGCTATGTATTCATATCTGAGGTTAATAAGTGTACTTCCCCCTTCCTCCCTTCATCTCTAAGCTGTTGTTTTGGAGGTATCATGATGCTCACAAGGCCAGGGTTCTTTCTACTGTCAGCAAGTGTCCTGTGTTCTCAGTCACTGTGGCTGGGGAACTGCTGGGCCAGAGGAAATTTTGTGTGTACCCAAATTTGATAACCAACTCTCTCAACTCCCAGCTCTCTGGAGAGGGTAGCAGCCCGACATTGTGTTCAGTTTTATCTTGTCTTGCACCAAATAGCATCTTGTTTCCACTTCATGTGTAAAAATGTATATTACTTTGGAAAATTTTGACGTTTCCTAAACCTAATTATCAAAACATTTTTCTTTCCTTCTTTAATCACAACAGAAAATGCCCAAAAAACAATAGAGGACGTCGACAGAAGCAAAACCTAGGTCATTTTACTTCAGATACGTCATCCAGGATGGTTTAAACTGATGACTTTTATATATGTACACTGACCATGTGATATACATTTATTATGTCTTTTTTTAAAGAATGGAAATATTTATTTCAGAGGCCTTATTTTTGGACATTTTTAGTGTAGTCCTGTTGGCTTGTATGTAGAATATTCAGCTACAACAGTTTTGGACTGTTTAGTAGTCTTTGTTTTATGTTTTTAAATATGGAAATTGATTTCATGAATTTGTACCACATGGTAATTCTAAGACTTGTTCCTCCCCCATGGAATGTAATATTTTTGCAAAGATGGACTACACAAATGATTATAAAGTCATACCACTTCTTCCACAGTGACCACAGCCAATGACCAAGCATGAACTAAAGGTAAAAATGTTTACAGATTACTTTTCTTACAAAAAAAATCTAGAAGACACTGTGTTTAAATAGAGATTTAAATGTTTTTGAGATTTAGTAACCAATTTTTTAGACACTGCCTATCGCATGAACTATGAAGCTGTGTGTGTTAGATGTAAAATATTTATAAGATGTATGGACTGGAATTTGATTATTCTCTTTGAAAAACAATTCTAATAATTCAAAAAAAGTGGAAGTAATGATGGAACAGATCACTGAACAGTAGATTTAGATATTATGGAAATAGGCTGTTTAATAAGCAGATTGGAATAAAGCTTACTCTATCAGTTGAAATACTTTAATACATATTCATTTTTAAAGAAAATCTTTGTTTAACATAAACAAATTGTATCAGTGTTTGTGAATAAAATGCAAAAATGATTATTAATGATTGGTGCTCTTAAAGTGAGCTTAAAAATTACTGAAGATCTCTATCCAAATTTGTCCTGTAGTAATAACTCTATTAATAGATTGTTGGTGTTAAAAGATTTGAAGTGTGAGTAGAATGTATTCAGCTGTTTAACTTGTAGTTTAGATATTCAAAAGTATGCATGTAGAATTTAAAGAATATGTTTAAAATTAAATATTAATTTTAATATTTTGTTTGGAAAAGCATGTTATAATATAATGTTTTCACTATATGGCCTCCGTTTTGGTGTGTGTGTGTGTGTTTTTTTAACTACATTCTTTGATATTGATGTATCCATACATTTAGTGGATGAAATTAATAGAAAAGCAGATGTCAGTGCAAAATTCCTCTGTGCTCTTACAAATACTAGTTGAAATTAAGGCAAAAGCTTTACTCAATATTTGGAGTCTGCTTTTTTAGTCACTTGGCTTTTAGACTTAATAGTTACAAGATGGCTTTAGTGAACTTTCTTAAAAAAAGATTTCCTCTTCTATCTATCCACATAGTCTTATTTGAGTCCCTTAGTCAGTCAGCAAGCATGCTTGGAACAGGTCCCTCTGCTTTGCAAAGGCTCATATTGCAGAGCAGTCATGGATGGATATTTGTAGTTATAAATACTTGACCACTCTCCAAGGGTGGGGTTTTCAGCCTTTTAAACAACCCGGGTGCTGTTACCAAGCTGACTTTCTGTTCTTAGTGCCAGAATTGATTGTGGTAGGACCTCTTTTGCTGAGAATTAAGCAAAATGGAGCATAATGGGTCTGCTTCAAATGCTGATAAAATCCACCAGAATCGCCTATCAAGTGTCTCAGAGGATGAAGACCAAGATGCCGCGCTTACCATTGTGACTGTGTTGGACAAGGTAGCCTCCATCGTGGACAGTGTGCAGGCAAGCCAGAAGAGAATAGAGGAGAGACACAGGGACATGGAAAATGCCATAAAATCTGTCCAGATCGACCTGCTGAAGTTTTCACAGTCACATAGCAATACGGGCTATATCATTAACAAGTTGTTTGAGAAAACCCGCAAAGTTAGTGCTCACATTAAAGATGTGAAGGCCCGGGTGGAGAAGCAACAGGTTCATGTTACAAAAGTTGAAGCCAAGCAAGAGGAAATAATGAAGAAAAACAAATTCCGCGTGGTAATATTCCAGGTGAGCTTGCGCTTGTGTTCAGCTTGATTACTATAATTTAGTCTTGTATTCTTTGTCAACAAGTCATACCAGAGGTTCCAGTTTCCAGTTTCACAGCTTAAATATTATGTGTATTAATGCAAAGAAATTCTGTGTCAGCAGAGATCTCAGGAGGAAAACCACTTCTGTGTTAACTAATGTACTTTCTCTTATATTGGTATTCTGAGCTTCCCAACCATCTCTTGTAATATGAACTGTGGCTCATGGCTTAGGCTATTTCTTGCCTTTGAAACTTAATATTAGTAAGGCTGTTTTGGCATATTAGCCCTATTTTAGTATGTTGTCCTCTCATAGACTTTGAGAATGTTAGAACTAGAGGAAATCTAAGAAGCCTCTCATTTAAAACACTTCTTTGTTTTAGAAAACAGGAAATGAAGGGACTCTTTACAGTTAAGTATAAAAACCATGTTGAGAGCTAAGTTCCCACATTATTGTGCACTTGCCACTCAGTTTTTGACATGGAACTTGACGGTGGCAAATGCATCATGTCACTTTTTTTTTTTTAAGATTTTATTTATTTGAGAGGTAGAGTTACCGACAGTGAGAGGGAAAGACAGAGAGAAAGGTCTTCCTTCTGTTGGTTCACTCCCCAAATGGTCACAATGACTGGAGCTGTGCTGATCTGAAGCCAGGAGCCAGGTGCTTCCTCTGGGTCTCCCATGCGGGTGCAGGGGTCCAAGCACTTGGGCCATCTTCCACTGCCTTCCCAGGCCATAGCAGAGAGCTGGATTGGAAGAGGAGCAGCTGAGACTAGAACAAGCACCCATATGGGATGCCAGTGCTGCAGGCAGAAGATTAACCTACTGCACCATGGCACTGGCCCCTTTGTCAGTATTTTTAAAACTTAGAAATCAAAAGGAAAAAGCTGAATTCTCCTTCCCTAGTAAACAAAGAAAAACACATAGTAAAAGACAAAATAAATAATAAAATTTGACACAAAAGACTAAATAATAAAATTTAACTTTTGGCCATTTCAATATTGGCAGTTACTAAAATGTGGACTCAGAATTTAAGGGTAGGAGAAAACAACACCATCACATTCTGCTAGTGAGAGTATTCATTGGTACACTATTTATAGAATGAAAGTTTGATAGTATGTATTAACTTTACAAGTCTGTAAACCTTCTGAGTGCAAAATTTGATATCAAAAATTTGGTTTTAGTCATAAAATCAGGAATATATGCAGGGATGTTCACTGGTGCTAAAGAAAATGTTGTCACACTGTAATTTTTAAAACGAATGCCCATGTGTATAAGGAAAAAACTCTAGAAGAATACCAACGAAATGAAATAGCAACACAGTTGGGTAGTGTAGGCAGGTATTTGTAAGATACTAGGGATGTGATCCATAACTCACTGCCCCCAGCATTCCTTACACATTAGTCAATTTTCTGTAGCTCTCTGACTGAAGGAGAGTTATACTGTGAAGGCAGAGTGGTATTTTCAACCTGTTTTTAAGAGACTTTACAGATTGTTTAGGAAAAAGCAATAGGAAGGAGAGAGAAATTGCTTATTTCAAAGGTAGATGGGCAGGACTATGCCACTGGAAGTTCTTTACTATTTACCTTTCACCATGAATTCCTGGAAGTCCTTTTTTCTAGGCTTAAAAATTTTGAAGAAAAAAAAAGTTTCAAAGACTAAGTGTGTAGTCTTGGTATGTTGTTCTTTATGTAGTGGAGAGCTAGATTTGGTTTTGGAGAATGTAGTACCCATTCTTCAATTCACTACTGGCAGTAGTGTGCATTTCTTACCTTCCACTTGTGTCGGGCCCACCAGGAAACATACTCGGCATCCACCATTTCTCCTGAAAACCTTTGCAAAGCAGTGGACCAAGTTCCCATCAAGATTTTCAAAGGCTAGAGCAAAGAAGTTTCTGAAAAGTTCTAGCTGATGCTGTTTGTGTTTTGATATTATTATTTTTTTTAAAAAAATTCAGGTTTTTCTGTATTCACCTGCTTAGTCTCTGTAACTTACTGATAGTTTTTTCTTTCTTCAAGCCCCTATTGTTAGTTAAAGCAACCGAGGGGTACCAGTTTAGATCGGATCTCTCCTTTTGTAAGATGGAATGCCATGAAGATCCTGTGAAATTACATTGTAAGCAGCAGTTTGCCAAAAAGCAGTTGTTACCTTTTGTAAGCTTGAAGAGAAAAGAAAAAGGCAAAACAAAACAAATTGTCATAGAACTTGGATTCAAGGACTCACATTAGATGTTAGAACACTGTATATAATATTCCCAGTGTTGAAAATTAGTTATGATGAATTCTTGTATGTATAAATGTTTATATTGAGATTGCCCCTAAAATTAATTTCAAACTGAGCAAGTCAGCTATCTTTCATTTCTATTCAACTTTTTCCTTAGGAAAAGGTCCCTGGTGTATCTTTTGGCTGTTACTTTTTTGACACTATATGCCACAATTGTGTGTGCCTAAGCTCTCACCAAACTCTGAATGGTTGACACTAAAAAATTATCTGCTATTTCATCTACAATTATGGTTTCTCTCTGAACATCCTTTGACCTTGATGGCCTCTCTTATTATGCAAGCCAGGAATCTTAGCATACCTTTTGATAATTTTAGTTACTAACCATATGCCTATGGTTACCAAATGAGACACTTGGCCATACCCTACTAATAAGTCCCAGACTTCTGTATATTCAAAATTCCCCTGGCCGTATTACTTTGATTCTGTTAACAAAAAAAATGGTCTTTTTACTTGTATTTTGAAATCAATTATACTTAAGTCCTCCAATCTTCAGTTATTATAGTCTATTCACCATTAACACATGCTATCTCTGACTCATAGGTGTTGGAACCAAATGCTATATGTAACAAGTACTTTTTTGGCTCTACCTCTGTTTTATTTGGCCTTTAAGACCGACTTCATATTTGTTATGCAGTTAAAGAAGGGTATGTGATGTCCTCACAGAAGGATTGTGAGGGTTTTTTTCCCCTACCAAGCAGTAATTACACTTTGACTTCTTCCTTTTCTAATTATACCTTCTCAGGCCATGCCAACCCACACTATGCTGTTGAAGCTACTCCCTGCAGCAGGTGTCAGGAAAGGAGAGGAATAATTTCACCACTTCTGACTGATTCACCAGGGAGTTATGAGACGCCTACCCCTGCCTTTTTTAGCTCCTAGACGTTCCAATCCTGTAGCCAAATATTTTAATTTTAAATAAGTATCCAAAGAAATAAAGTTGCTGGGATATCTTCTTGACAATCAGGTTGATAAGTTTTAGAATATGCATAAATGTTTGTTACATATTTATCATATTTTTGATTGAATAGATTTAATCTGGATTTCGAGTTGGAACACAGTTCCTTTTAGAAGTTTTAACTGATGGTTCAGTTGAAAATCTCATGATGTTTAAAATTCTGCCTGTTTACTTTTAGAAATAATCTAAATAGTAGTTTGGGTTCCCTTTAAGAGCTGTGATCTTGGCCTGACTCTGTAGGTCTCTGATGTCCGTCACGTTGTGTTCCCAAACCCAATTCTCGTCCTTGTTCTCTTGACACATTTGGCATAGTTGGTCCCTCCTCTTCTTCCTGCAGCTTTTTTCCTCTTAGCTCCTAAGGGTTCAACTGTCTTCTGCATTTCCTCCTGTCCGTGTGGGCTATATTCCTTCTTTTAAATTCTTTTTCATCTCTTCTTTCTTGTCTGCCAGTCTAGAATCCAAAATCTATAATACCAAAATCCCCCCAAAATCTAAAAATACAAATATAAGAACAGCCTAGTTTGACTAGAAATCATTAGTTGACAAAGCTTGACCTGAACTAGCATGAGGCTTTTTATAGTATTTATGTCTTGCATTAGTGTGACTTACTGTACAAAATATAGTTTTTGTTTTTTTAACTGCAGAAATGTTTCTTTCCAGGATTTCTTAGGGAATGCTATATATTATATCATATTAGTTTTCCAAAATCTGATGTATTTGGAATTCTGATACATACTTTGGCCCCAAAGAGTTTTGAGTAATAGAGTATTGCCAATTCAGCCAGTTTCTTGGTGTTCTCTCTCTTTTTTTTATTTTTTAAATTTTTAAAAATTTATTTGACAGGTAGAGTTATAGACAGTGAGAGAGAGAGAGACAAAGAGAAAGGTCTTCCTTCTGTATGTTCACCCCCCAAATGGCTGCTACGGCCGGCGCTGCGCTGATCTGAAGCCAGGAGCCAGGCGCTTCTTCCTGGTCTCCCATGCAGGTGCAGGGGCCCAAGCACTTGGGCCATCCTCCACTGCCTTCCCCGGGCCACAGCAGAGAGCTAGACTGGAAGAGGAGCAGCCGGGACTAGAACCGGCGTCCATATGAGATGCCAGTGCCGCAGGCGAAGGATTAACCAAGTGAGCCACGGCGCCAGCCCCTGGTGTTCTCTTTTATCTGGTCTCATGACTTTTAATTTGGTTTTTTATATTATGGATTCCTAAGTTTCTGTGTCTAGCCAAGTCCTGTCTTCTAAATGCCAGGCTTGTAATCTCAGGTGCCTGCTCAGCATCCCTGCTTGCTTGTCTAGTGGTCATTTCAAGGCAAGATTTATGCCCCTCCAGTGTCCTCCTCCTGCTGTCTTCCCCATCTCATTTACTGAAAGTCTCCCCTTGTGTCGCGCAGACCGTGTGCTCAAGAACCATCCCTGACACCCTCTGCCACTCTGCATCCAAACATCGCAGCTTCTCACTGCGCCTCTGCCGGCATCCCAGTCCCTCCCTCACCTGCCTTGTATCAGTGCTGTTCGCTCTTCTCCTTGTCTCTTACCTTGCCTCTATAGCTTGTTTTCAGCAGAGTAATTCTTTTTTTTTTTCTTGGATCACCTTTAAAAGAGTTTCATACTTGAAAAAGAGCCTCTATCCCTATTATTGAATACAGAGTACACAGGGTCTGGCCTGCCTGCAGTGTCTCTTACTCTGGTCACTCTGTGGCAGCCACACTGCCTTACTTGCTGTTTCTCTGTCTTCCTAGATATATGCACAACCTTTGGGTCTAGGCTCAGGTGTCACCTTACTGTTTGGAGACTTTTCTGACCGGTGTAGTTCAGATGGTGCCCTCCCCAGTTGCTGTGAATTCCTCTCCCCTTTTTTATTTTTCACCTTGGCCCTTATCACTCTCTAATCTGCTATATATTTTTTTTTTTGACAGGCAGAGTTAGACAGTGAGAGAGAGAGACAGAGAGAAAGATCTTCCTTCTGTTGGTTCACCCCCCAAATGACCGCTACGGCTGGCGTGTCACAGCTGGTGGCTGTGCTGATCCGAAGCCAAGAGCCAGGTGCTTCCTCCTGGTCTCCCATGGGGTGCAGGGCCCAAGCACTTGGGCCATCTTCCACTACCTTCCCGGGCCACAGCAGAGAGCTGGCCTGGAAGAGGAGCAACTGGGACAGAATCCGGCGCCCCAACCGGGACTAGAATGGGTTGCTGGTGCCGCAGGCGGAGGATTAGCCAAGTGAGCCGTGGCGCCGGCCATAATCTGCTATATGTTTTACTTGTTTGTTTCCAAGAATGTCAGCTCTTTCACTCTCATTTCTTGTCAGAAGTCTCTCAGTTTCTAGAACATTGAACATGATGGTACTCAGTAACTGTTATACAAAGGTGCAAGCCTCTTATTGGATCCAACCATCAGTTATTGAGTCTACCTATCATGTATAAGGTGCTTATAGAAGTTGGGCATAAAACATAAATAAGGCACATTATCTCTTCTTTTTTTAAAGATTTATTTTATTTACTTGAAAGAGTTACAGAGAGAGGTAGAGATAGAGAGGTCTTCCATCTGCTGGTTCACTCTCCAATTGGCTGCAATGACTGGAGCTGTGCTGATGCGAAGCCAGGAGCCAGGAGCTTCTTCTGGGTCCCCCACGTGGGTGCAGGGGCCCAAGGACTTGGGCTGTCTTCTGCTGCTTTCCCAGGCCATAGCAGAGAGCTGGATCGGAAGAGGAGCAGCTGGGACTAGAACCAGAGCCCACATGGGATGCTGGCACTTCAGGCCAGGGCGTTAACCCACTGTGCCAGAGTGCCAGCCCCTCAAGGAGGCTTTCATCTTGTGTTGGCCCCAGGGAATCCTAAGTAAAGGAGTGGAGTTCCAATTCTGTTCACACTGTGATGTCATAAATGGTGGAAAATAGATGTTCTTTTGGTGTCAGAGACAAAATTAGCTACTTGGGGAAGATGGGACATTTGAATTGATTGTAGAAAAAATTACATTCACAAAACTTAAAAGAGGTGGGGGAGGCATTTAAGATATCAGACTTCACATAAAGGCATCAAAGGCTCAAAACATTTTGTGCTGGAGGAACTGAGAGTGGTGCATGTTGCTGGGCTAGAGGAGTGGGAAAGTAAGCTCAGCTCAAATGCAGGAAGCTTCTAAGCATGCTGGAGAAGTTCGCCTTCACTCTTTGAGTCCTGATGAGCTCCCAGAAGTTCTAAAAGGATGTAACTAGAGCTGTGCTTCAGTAAGATTTCTCAGGAAATACTTCACTGATATTTTGGAAGTGGAGGGATCAGTGATGAGAATTGACAAGTTCAGACCCAAGGTGATAAAGATCTGCGCTGTGGTGCAGGTTAATCCTCTGCCTCCGGTGCCGGCATCCCATTTGCGCACTGGTTCTAGTTCTGGCTGTTCCTCTTCCGATCTAGCTCTCTGCTGTGGCCTGGGAAAGCAGTGGAAGATGGCCCAAGTCCTTGGGCCCCTGCACCCATGTGGAAGACCGGGAGGAAACACCTGGCTCCTGGCTTCGGATAGGCGCAGCTCTGACCGTTGCGACCATCTGAGGAGTGAACCAACAGACGGAAGACCTTTCTCTGTTTCTCCCTCTCACTGTCTTTAATTCTACCTCTCAAATAAATAAATAAATAAAATCTTAAAAAAAAAAAGACATTGATAGAGACGGCATGAGGTATGAGGGAACAGATGGATTATGAAGCAGTATTACGAACAGACTTTGATGACCAGCTGGATTTTGGACGAGGAGGGAGAGGAAATATTTGGGATGATAACTGAAATTTTGTCTTGTGTAGCACCTGGAAGTATGTTGGTGCCAAAAGGGACAGGGAAAGAAGTAGGGCTGGAGTGGATGGTGGATGGGACTTTCTAAGTTTGAGATGCTGGTGTTAGGTCTAGATAGAGACATCATTTAGACTTGTGTCTTCACCTTAGGAGGTGGGGGAAGGTGAAGGTAAAATCGGTGTGAGTTTGCTTACAATTGGATCTGAAGTGGAAAGGCAAGGCTATCACAGAAGTGGATAGGTAAGGCTGCTCAGAGGGAAGCAAAAAGGGTGAAGGAACAGGACACCCTGAGAATTGCCAGCACTTCCTGATGAACAGCCCCTGGGGGAGGTTTACAAGGTGTCTGCACAGGGTGAGTGAGTGAATCCGCAGCAGCGGAAGCGCTAACGTGTTTTGTTGCTCTGTCCTGTAGGAGAAGACACGGTGTCCAACTTCCTTGTCGATCGTTAAAGACACAAACCTGTCCGAGAATCAGGAGGTGGAGGACGACGTCTTTGATCCCCCAATAGAGCTCTCTTCGGATGAAGAATATTATGTTGAAGAAAGCAGATCTGCCAGACTTAGGAAGTCAGGCAAGGAGCGCATTGATAATATCAAAAAGGCATTTTCCAAAGAAAACATGCAGAAGACACGGCAGAATTTTGACAAGAAAGTGAATAGAATTAGAACTAGAATAGTGACGCCAGAGAGGAGAGAGAGGCTGAGGCAGTCGGGAGAGAGGCTGAGGCAGTCCGGGGAGAGGCTGAGGCAGTCCGGGGAGAGATTTAAAAAATCTATTTCTAATGCAGCTCCCTCAAAGGAAGCTTTTAAGATGCGTAGCCTTAGGAAAGCTAAGGACCCAGCTGTGGCGGAAAGTCGGGAAGACGGCAGGGAGCTGGGCGTGGACATCCTCTCGAGGAGCGGGACTCTCAGCCCCATCCGGGAGCTGTACAGTGATGAGCTCAGCGAAGCAGAGCAGGAGGCGGCCAGGGCTGGGTCCCCTCCCCGTGAAGGAGGGGAGACCCCAACCCCCGAGCCTTTAAAGGTTACTTTTAAACCTCAGGTCAGAGTAGAGGATGATGAATCTCTTTTGTTGGATTTAAAGCAGTCATCTTAAAGAGGAATTACATCTACGGCAAATATAAATCTCCTTAGTCCAGCAGGTTTAGTGTCAACAGGATAGTCCTTTGCATTTAAATGCCATTTAGGAAAGCATATCTCTTCTTACATTTAAAATCTTCAAGATAATCTAAATATCATGTACATTTCCTAGGGAATTCATTCTTTCCCCTTGAGCATAGATGATTCTAGCAGCTTTTTCCCTTGTGTCAACCTTTCTCATGGCAGCTGGGGATTTTTAAGTTCCTTTCTCTTGCCCACCAAAAACCACTTGCCTAGCTCAGGCTAATTAGGTGTTTGTTCATCTGAAACAAATGAGGGACGTATTTATGGCCATTATTTGCAAGTGAACTCTCAATTTTGGTCTAGATTAACTTCAAAAGGAAATGACTGATGGGTGGACTTTCTCCAGATGTTCACACCAACAAATCCATTAATAAATTAGCCATCCCAGCCCCCTTTTGTTGCTTTTGCATTAAAAAAAGTTGAAAGTTCTGGAACGGAGCATTTGGCTGCAGCATCATAGTTTTACTTCTTGCAAAAGCAATTGGCAAGTCATCTGCCTGTTCTCATTGATAAGAATGGAGAGGGTTAGCCTGCCTTGCCCTCTCTGAAGACTGCTCTGAAGATCAAAGAAAACATTATGCATTCTGGAGAACAAGAAAACAAACCTCAAAAAGAGAATTAAAATAATTGCACTTGCTGAAAAAGCTCTGAGCACCAAGCAATGAGGTCCGGGGTTGGACAGAAACTAAAGTAGGTCTTCAGAAGCCTTTCCACAGACTCGGGTGAAAAATAAACGTGGGTGACTTTTCATCAGAGTAGAACCAAACCTAGAGTTTTTGTTGGGTCTTAAAATGCTCCCTGGAAAAATCCTCTAGTGTTCTTTCTATTGAGGTTTATGGTGGGTTACTGCAATATTGATTTGACCAGCATGAGGCATAAAACTGACCAGATGGCTTCTCTGAAGTCAGCCCTGATGCAGCGGGTTTGGAAATGACCTCAAATGTTTGTTTTCCAGAGTGAACCCTTCAGGACTCAATTGTACAAAACAGTGTAGGAGTTCACATCCATCCTTGCTACTTTTGCAGGAAGTCAGGTTTCACTGATCTGTTAGCTTTAAGTCAGTCAAATCAGAAAAGAGACGGTGTTACTGAAGCAAGAAATGGTCACACTGGCTCTGTATGTGTAGCACGTTTAAATCTTACAGTTTTGAGCCGGCGCCGCGGCTCACTAGGCTAATCCTCCGCCTTGCGGCGCCGGCACACCGGGTTCTAGTCCTGGTCGGGGCGCCGGATTCTGTCCCGGTCGCCCCTCTTCCAGGCCAGCTCTTTGCTGTGGCCAGGGAGTGCAGTGGAGGATGGCCCAAGTGCTTGGGCCCTGCACCCCATGGGAGACCAGGATAAGTACCTGGCTCCTGCCATCGGATCAGCGTGGTGCGCTGGCCGCAGCGCGCCGGCTGCGACGGCCATTGGAGGGTGAACCAACGGCAAAGGAAGACCTTTCTCTCTGTCCACTCTGCCTGTCAAAAAAAAAAAAAAAAAATCTTACAGTTTTGTAACAGGGAAGAAATGAAGAAATGGTTGAATTGGAAGAGTATGCACAATAATCAGCCATCTCGTTTCATACCCCCACCCCCACTTTCAGATAAGTTTTGGATAGTCATGTCACATTTAAAAATAATAAATATAAACATATACACTCAGATACACACAACCCACCTTAAAGTATTTGACTCAGTTACCCAGAGAGTACGGCCTGGGAGCTTGATTGAACATCATTTCCTCTTTACTCTGCATGAAGACATGATAAAGTCATAAGTTGTTCATACATTATCTTTTTATATTGAAAATAAAGGTTATACAACATTGAATAAAACTTTCAAAAAATAACTTAAAATGTTTTATTGCAGTTTAGAAAGAGCTTGGATATTTAATCACATATTTCATTAAGAGCCATAATACATTTGAACTTAAAAAGACATCGCAAAGCTTGAGGTCAGTGTTCCAGCTGTAAATATTTTTGCTAATGAATGCTAACGACAACATGCAAAGTTTGATGTGCTCATCCTTGAAATAGATGCTTATAGGTTAGGAAGAATGTAACGTTAGAAGATTTTGTTTTCCAGCCTGGTGTAAAATATGTATTAATTGGGCTAATATATTTTTCTGCAAAACTATCAAGGAAGTTTCGTGAAGTCAGTTGGCTTACGGATCCATTGTATAAACCAGACTTGAACATTTGCTGTGTAGATGCATTTGAATGTTAGTCAGCTCTTCGTCACAACAGGCCCTGTGCAGCCCCCCAAGCGTTGTAAGCCTGTACTGCTAGGATTTCCTCTTCGTTTTCCTTCTGTCTTCTGTCATTTCTTCCAGTATTTAGGGCATTTCTGAATTCCACATTCATATCTCTTCTGCTTTTACCCTGTTTCCATGGTATAAAGGTAATGGGCTGCAGGATCACATGCGTCATGTAATGTGAGACATTCTAATCTGTATTCTTTAACATTTCAGGCAACACAGAACAAATTTCTCTTTTATGTTTAGCAGTTCTAAATGCCAGATTTTAAATAACTCATTCAGATGAAACCATTAGCAGGATTTATCCCCCAGTGCAGCATCCACAGACCCCTGGGGCATGGAGCCTACCCTCAAGCACTTCTGCAGAGTAGACAGTGGAGCGGGGTAGGGCAAGTCTCGCCTCATGGGTGATCCAGGTGCTCCCTCTGTGATGGATGATGGCCTGATTCTGGCTTACCTGTTAAGGCAAATGTGGAATAATAATAATGTGCATGAAAATTCCGCTCACTCTGAGTGTCCTTGAGATGTGTGTGTGTGAATTCCCTTGAGCAAGTTTCCATAAATTAAAAATATAAACTTTTGACTTCATTTTTTGCCTTCCCTGCACATTAAAGGATTTGGTTTAGAAAAAGGCCTGAAGTGTCATTATGATTCTGTCAGCTAAAAAGTATGGGTCATGTTATAGAAAATATTCCACAGAACTGCAGTTAATTGTGCTATTCCACTACATGAAACCACTGGGCCAATCATTTTTTAAATTCTGGGACATGTTTTCTATAGCTTCTTTATTAAATCCCACTAAAAAATTATAGATACAATCCCAAAATTGGGAGTGGGGGCAGTGTTTGATAACCTTTATGGTCCCGGCCTCAATACCTTTTGAAATTGAGGCATGCTGGTCTCTGGTCCATAGAGAATGAAAAAATGAAAAGTGCTTATGCTGAATTTTCTATGTCGTAGTGACCAGCTCTGTTATGTCCTGTCTGAGGATTTATGGATCTTCCTCTCTGGTCATTTCAGCAGTGGATAGGAACTCTGGGGTAGCTGCGAGGACAGATGGGATGACAGAGAATCCGTTGATTACACCGGGCATCTTCCTAATCAGCTGTGCTTGTCAGAGCCCTCCCCTAACTACTCTACCTCTTGATGCTGTTGCTCATGCTGTACATCTGCTTGGGAATACCAGCTTCCCTTTCATTCTGGATGAAGAATTTCAAGTTCAATGACAATTTCAGTGTCCTTGTCTTTGCCTTTCCCACTAGGGAAGGCATGCATATTGACTGCATATACTCAGTACTTGACATCTTTATGTACCAGAGGCTGTGAAGCACCGAAGAGTTAAAAATGAACAGGATCTCCCCCAAGGCTCCCTTGTTTCCCAACCATATCCTATAGTGAACAGGGAGACAGTGGAACAAAGATTCAGCAATGTGACTAGTGTTACATATAAGACAATGGAACTGCAGAAATGGAAGGTGTTTATATAATATTTTGCTCATACATCTACCCTAACACTTGTGTTGTATTGTAGTTCTTTGTGTAACTGTCTTCTAGACTGTGCCGCTTTTACTGATCTCAGGGTCACCAACACTTGGAGAGCCTCCCATGTGATAGCTGTCTGTGTTGTGAATCCAAGAAAGACAACGCACGTGAGGAACTTGCCCCCTGGTGAAGGAGTAGACATACTGCATACATTTAACAAAGAATGATCAGGAAGGAGACCTAGCAATGGGGGAAATGGCTCTCAAGGGAAGCTATGAAAGTGATGTTAACGTTAGTATCTGAAGATCAATCAGGAGTCAGCTAAATCACAGCAAGAATCCAAGGCAAGTTGCAGCTGGAGAGGTTGTGTGAAGGTGTTGTGAGTTTTATGTCAAAGACCGTAGAGAGCCAAGGAGATATTTTGAGCTGAAAAGTGCCATGATTTGTGTTTTAGAAAGGAATCTCTGTTAACAGAGCAGAGGCCGAAGCACTGGTTAGTAGGGCCCTTGTATTTTTTTCAGCTTTTGGGTTAACCTGTAATGTTTGTGCATTTTAAAGGAATACAGTGCAGTATTTTCAACACATACATGCAACATAAACTCATCATACCAGGCAACTCACCTTTCCACTTAATTCCTTTTCCTTGTGTTTGATGCCTACCAGCCCCTGTCTTAATTATACAAATATAATACCTTTTTGTGAGCTGTCTTACCCCACCTTGAGAGAAGACTGCCTAAAAAAAAGTAATAACCAAGCTATAAAGGGGTAAATCTGGAGGTGTGTTGTGATGGGGAGCAAATGGGTGGCAGGTTTCTGACTTGGCCAAGTGGCTGTGCTGGTCCCCGAGAAACACATCCCGATTCTCCGACTGCTCTGACAACATGGCTGCTTGCCCCTCATTACAGCGTGAGGAACAAGGGAACTATGCTTATATTCCAGAAGTTCCCATGCTAGAAATCTGCTTCCCTGTGCTTGAAAAAGTCTGATTTGGAGGGGTCCTTTCCTGGGCCTAGCAAGCACCTTGCCTTGCCTTCTCCACCAGGACTCCCTGGTCATCTTATCAGAACTGCCTTGCAGGCCTGAGGCCCTTGTGCAAGCTTCTTTCCTGTTTTTGTCTTTACCCAAGGCCAGATTTCTGCTTGTTCATTATGTGCACTGAAGAAAAGCTCCTGATTCTTAGAATGGTTTTTTTTTTTCCCCCATACTTCATTTGTTATCTGTCACCTGAGGATTCTAGCCAAAGCTGTGCTGCCACCACAATGAAGGCTATTGTCATCTGCAGTGCTGGCCAAGGTCAAGTGCCAGGTTCCTGTAGCTATTCACATCAGCTGCCATGGTTGCAGCAAGAGCCTCTGTCTCATCATGTCTGTCATACTAGATCTGAGTCATGACATCAGAAATGTATTAGGGGTTCAAGATGGGTTTGATGCATCTCATTTTTCCTTCCCTCCAAGGTTCTGGCCGAAGGAGTTGCCAGCCAAAATGAAGATTAAAGGGTCATCTTCATGATTGGCTGTGCACATGGCTCAATAAATCCCCCAAGTGTCAGGCACCTGGTCCATTCCATTGGTGACTGTGGCATAGACTCGAGAGACGGAGCCTCCTGTTGTGCTGGGAAGCCGCAGGCTCTGGTGTCACAGCAGGGAGAGCAAGGTGTGCAGAGGAGCGGAGTCTGTTTTGTCCACTGGCAGTGAAGCCCACGGGCCTGCCTTGCACACTCGGGGAGCATGGCAGGAAGGGAGCGCCTCCCTTCTGGGTAACCCCCAGCCTAGTAGGGCAGGTAGTGGGAGGCAGAGAGGCTGTCACCCCTGAGCCAGAAAACCTATCACATCTGAGCGGATAGGTGCCAATTAGCATCCACAGCCTTGCTTGTGCTTTTTGAGGTCTAACTCAGCCCAGTGAGCTCTGTGCTGCTACTTGTGGGGTCTGTTTTGAACACTGAATTGAGGGGCTTGCATCTTCAGTGAGGACCAAGTGGAGAGCAGGCCAGCTGGGTGGCCAGAGGAGAGGGCTGGGTTCACACTCGGGATAAAGTGCAGAGAGGTGAGATTGTGGGTTTTCATGACAAAATTCAGGCAGTTTGAAGGAAGGACTGGATAAAGATTGTTTAGTTGCCAAACTTCTAAATTAAGGGATTCTTTTAAGGATTATTCAGGGCCCTCCTTTTAAGAATAATTTTTTTCCAGATCAGTCTGCGATAACCATTGCTTTTTTTTTTTTTTTTTTAAATTCTTGAGCATGTTGCAGTAACCATTGCTTTTTAAATGGCAGAATTCTCTATCAAACACTCTCATTTTCAACCCCACTGGTGGAATTCACTTAGCAAGAATACTTTTTGTTCCAAGCTGAAATTTAGAACTCTGCTGAGCACCACAGCCTGCAAGGTTTGGCTTACTTTCTTGCTATGAGTCCATTAAGGTATTACTCCTGGCTGAAGTTTGCCCGCAGCATAATATTGTAAAGCAGCCAAGTTAGCCTAACAATCTCATGGGCCAATATTCATGATTTATCAGAGTCTCATTAGGCCTTTTATCCAAACAAGCTTTTAAATTCTCAAACTGTGGTTATGTAGCTAGGTTGTGTTAGGGGAAAATAAAATCCACTGAAGTGAGTATATCGGCTTAATTGTATTAACACCTTTCAAGTGGCCACATTTATTTGGAAATTTTCTATACGAAGAAGAAATAAATTAACAGAATTATACATGGGATGTGCTTGATTTTAGTTCAAAGGAATGGAGATGATTTCAAAGGAAAACATTCATAAGCTGTCAACTGTCAAAAAATAGGATTAAACCTTTTCACAGGAGGGAAAATATCTGCATAAGCCATAGCTTGTAGATTCATGCAGAAAATGAACCAAAATATCCTCTCCTAGAAGCTCTTGCATCTTTCTTACATTAAAAAGAAATCCCCAGCATTTCAGGAAAATCTGTGTTAGAGTAAAATCACTTAAGATTTACTACTTTTTCTCCAATTAAAAAAAAAAAAAAACACTTTCTAGTAACACTCTGCTTAAGCATCTCCCCATTTTTCCTCTTGAGAGCATCTGTGAGGGTGAGGTGAGAGGAAGAAGGCTAAAGAAAATTGGTTACGTTCCAAAGGAGCCTCAGATTTATGCCTAGGATTTGATGGAAACCAAGCCACGTGCATATGACAGATTACTTTTCCTGCCTTTAAAAATTCCACCCAGAAACGACAATGATTTATATATTCTCAGCGGCCTGCGGTGTTAAGAATGGACATGGAAATCATGAAAGCAGGCATAACAGTTTCTTGATGTGAAGTAAGCATCAAAGCCAGGAGCACTCTAAGTGTTGAGGAAACTGGAGCAGGTGGCTGGGTGATCCGTGTTGTCAGGACAAAGCAACAGAGAATGGGTTTCAGATGCAGGAGGAAGGAAATGGCTTATCCACAAAGAGGCGCCCAAGCTGCAGAACCCTCTCTTTCCAGGAGAGTTTAGTAAATGAACAGTCTTCTACTTGGAGGCAGGGTAGCGAATGGAGTGCCTGGAGAGGAATGCATTCATCATAGTTATTTTTGTTCCACAGTTTTCCGCGGTGGGCAGCCATGATTGTCATATTCAATGTGCTGGTTTTGGTAAAGCTTTTTCACGATACTGTGCATGCATTCTCTCTGAGGTTGTGAGCTTAGTCCAAGAGACTTCATGTAATAAGAAAATGTCTAGGAGCGGGCGTTCAGCCTGGTGTTTCAGATGCCCATTGGGATGCCCATATTCCACGTTGGAGTAACTGGGTTTGGTATCTGGCTCCAGCCCCTGCCTGCAGCTTCCTGTAATGCAGACCCTGGGTGGCAGTGGATGGAGATGGCTCCAGGATTTCTGCGCTTGCCATCCATGTGGGAGTCTCTGGTTGAGTTCTCAGCTACTGGCTTTAACTGGCCCAGTCCCAGCCGTTGCAGGCATTTGGGGAACAAATCAGCAGATGGGAGTTCTGTTTGTATAGCTCTCAAATACATTAAAAACACTGAAAGGGTGATGTCTTGTGCCGTCCATGGCTCTATAAGTATTTACTGAGTGAACACAAGTAAATGCCTCTTGGAACTCTGGTCCCTTTGCTGAGTGTCTTTGAGTTAAGGTTGTTTGTTTATTTGATGGGTATTTGTGGAGCAGCTCTAATAAACCTGACACTG